GCTTTGATTGGCAGGTCTGGTCAAACTGGTGAGGTCGATGGATTGAGTCAGGACATCAGGAGGTATGTTGAGGATCACAGCGGGCTGCTCAGAGCGCAGATTGTTGAGGAGCTGCAGGAGTCGAAGGTGCACAACCATTGGAGAACCAGAGAGAGACTCTACAGAGGCCTTTAAAGCCCCACAAGCCGCCTTTTCTCCCTCTGCAGCAATCACCTGTGCGAAGCATAGTGGTTAAAAAGCTGGGTTGTAAACTAAAAAGTTGTGGGTTCAAATCCCATTTTGTAATTATGGCCTTACTTTGACTTGTGCTTGACGTCTCGCTTCGGCCTCCACAGCAAAGTTGTGTTGCAGTTCAGGTGGAAGACTGATTTCTTCTCTGCAACAGTGGACATATGTTACGAGTGGGAAAACCTTTGGAGTCTAATCTGTTCTACGTACTTACATCTCCGCTCTTTCCACTTTGATACCCCACCTGCAGGTTACCGAATCTAAACTGACCTGCCCGACAAATGAAGACTAAGTAAAAACGTATTGTTTCAAGCCCTCGTGAGGTGTCATATCTGTTGACATTTACCTGAATCTCCTGGGCCATCCGTTTCCGGTTCAGCAAAATGTCAGTGAAGGCATGGTGGGCCAGTATCTCTCTAACAGACACCTGGGTCAGAGGCTGCAGCACATCTGGGACACTGGCGAGGGAGGAATAACACACAGACATGTTCTCGATACGATAGTAACACACCGCGCTCACTTCGGTACACACCAGATCTTTGGTCACCACCTGAGGATACAATTACATGAAATTATATGGCTTGCTGGAGAGGTGTTTTAGAATTTTTTAGACTTGCAATTTTCTCAGCAGTCGATAAAATGGGCCATAAAAATACTTTTGACTTGCTTTGAAAGATCCAAGCCATATCTAGAGACCTAAGGGTGTTTTTTTTAAGTATTTATTTTTTGATTGGGCTAGTCTTCAACCAGTTGCCACCCTCATGTTTACATACGTGTGTAAGTGGGATGGTATTTGTCGCAGTCAGCTTTTTAGAGTGCACTTCATTAAATGACTCCGAGGTCATCTCAGAAAATACAATGCTGCTTACATAGACCTTAGTCAGGGTAGCACCATATTTAATTTTTGACAGGAA